GGGGGGGGGTCCCACTGACCTTTTCCTTGGCGCGCAGCTCACGGAACATGTGCTGGATCTCCAGCTTCCAGTCGTCCTGCAGCGAGTGGAAGGCGTCCAGGGCCATGGAGAACATGGCCGAGTGCTCGATGGCCACCAGCCGCCCCAGGATGCTCCCGAAGGGCGGCCGGGCGTGGGGGTCGGGGTCCCAGCACTCTGTGGGGGGGAGAGAGAGTCAGCCGGGCCCAGGGGCACCCCCGGAGCCCCTACCTCCTGTGGAGAGCCACCCCAGAGCCCCCACCCCATCCCCCCTGGGCACTCACCTCCTGTGGCGAGCCCCCCCAGGGACACCCCATCCCCCCTATCCCCCCTGGGCACTCACCTCCTGTGGCGAGCCCCCCCCGGGACACCCCAGAGCTCCCATCCCCCCTGGGCACTCACCTCCTGTGGCGAGCCCCCCCAGAGCCCCCCCCCAGGCACTCACCTGCCAGCAGGCGGGCGAAGGGCTCGGGGCAGGTGGAGGGAATGGGCAGCGTCAGCTTGTTCATGGCCACACCGTAGGCTACGGCCAGAGCGTCGATCTCCCGGTACGGCACCTCCCCGGTCAGCAGCTCCCACAGCAGCACCCCGAAACTGCAGCACAGGGACAGGCTGGGCTGGGGGGGGGTTGAACATGGATCTGGGGGTCGGGGTGACCCCCCCATCCCACCATGCTGTGACCCCCCAGCCCCGTGAGATCCAGCCCTCTCCCTCATACCGATCCCCCCCTCCCCTGGGGTCCCCCGCTCTGGCCGGCCCCGGCACCTCCAGACGTCGCTGCTCTTGGAGAAGCGCGAGAGCCGGATGACTTCGGGCGCCATCCAGGCGTAGGTGCCGGCTGCGCTCATCTTGGTCGTCTTGTGCCACTCGCGCGCCAGCCCGAAGTCCGTGATCTTCAGCGTGCGGCCGCCCAGCTCCCCGTCCTCCATCTTCTCCAGGATCAGGACTGGGGGGGTAGGAGAGTGAGGGGGTGTGAGGGGGCACCCAAGGGGAGGGGGCCCGGGGTACCCCCCCGGCTGCCCCCGAGTGGAGTGTGCCAGGCTGCCATGTCCCTTGACCGCCCCTCCTTTGCCCGGTCAGGGGCTGGAGGGGGTTTCAGCCCCCCCAGCAGCACCCCTGCTGGGGCCTAGGCCACAAGATGGGGGGGGCGGTGCACCGGGGCTCATGCGCCTCCATAGCGACCATGCAGCCCCTGCTCAGGCCTGGTGCTGGGCACATCCCCAGGGCTGGAGCAGGGAGTCAGTGTCCATGGGCTGTGGGGAGCGGCGGGGGGCAGAGAACAGGGGCTCGGTGCTGGGGCGCAGCCTGCGCTAGAGGGATGGACTGACTGCTATGGGGCAGGGGCATGTCCCCTCTGGGGGGCGCCGGGTCCCCTCCGGCCCCAGCGCAGGGACTGGCTGGCTCAGGGGGGCAGGGAATGGGGCAGGGGGCCTGTCCCCTCTAGGGGGTGCCGGCTCCCCTCTGGCCCCGGGGCAGGGACTGGCTGGCTCAGGGGGGCAGGGAATGGGGCAGGGGCCTGTCCCCTCTAGGATGCCAGTCCCATCCTGGCACACCTGCTTTCCTGCCAGCAGCTGTTCAATGTGTGAAGTGAGCTTGGCAGGTCTCAGGGTTTCCCAGTGCTGTGGCCCCCATCCGCACCCCAGGGGCACCCACATGGCCTTGTCGCAGCGCTGCCCCCCTGGCGCCACCTGGCCCCGGCACTCACCGTTGATGGATTTCAGGTCGCGGTGGATGATGGGCACCACGGCCTCATTGTGCAGGTAGTTCATGCCGCGGGCGATCTGCACGGCCCAGTTCACCAGCACGTGCGGCGGCACCTTCCTGCCGGCCAGCGCTCGGTTGAGGGCGCCGCCCCGGGCGTACTCCATCACCAGGCACAGGTTGGGGGGCTGGAGGCACACGGCCTTCAGGGCGATGATGTTGGGATGGCGCAGCATGCAGAACAGCCGGGCCTCCTGCCGGACACTCTCGGCCGTGGTGCTGATGTCCTCGTCGGGGTCCTGGCGCGCCGCCTTCACCGCCACCTCCTCCCCCCGCCACACGCCCTTGTAGACCTTCCCGAAGCCCCCCACCCCGATGATCTCGTCCAGCAGCAGCTCCTGGAAGGAGATCTCCAGCGGCAGAGGGTAGGGGCCGCCCGGGGGGCCGCTGGCCACGTAGTCACAGGGGAAGACGCCCACCCTGTCCTCGATTTTCCCCGTCCACCAGCCCTCGTCTCCCGACACGGTGGAGTCCTGGGAGAGCACCTCCACCAGGTCGCCGCGCCGCAGCGTCAGCTCCTCTTCCGCCGCCGCCTCGTAGTCGAAGACGGCCGTCCAGAAGGGGTTGGTTTTGTGGTTCCACCCCCCGCCGCCGTCCTCCGGCCCGTCCCCGGCCTCCTCGCCCGGCAGCGCCTTGTGCCCGGCCTCCATCCTGGGCCCTCCGCGGTGCCGGCCGGCCTAGATGGCTGAGTGCTGCTGGGACATGCTTCCGTGCTCTGAGCGGGGACAGCCGCCCGCCCTCGCTGGTCCAGGGACTGGCCCCCGGTGCATGCTCCCACCACGGCAGCAACATCCAGAGGTCCCAGCGCGTCGCCTCTCGGCTGCTGCCCGGCGGGCGTGGGCCGCAGGAGGGTGGCTGGCGCTACGGACTAACCCCTGCAGCACAAAGCGCAGCTGAGGGCCCGGGCCTTCCCCGGCCGGCGAGTCCGACCCCCCAGGAGCCTGGCAGGGACTCCCCTGCGCCTCTCAATCGTGCCACTTCCCTTGGAAGCGAGGGGACGGCGTGTCCAGCCTTTGCATGTCCGGGCGCCGGCTCTGCCCGGCCTGGCGCTGCGCGGTGGCCGCGGATTCGCTCAGAAGAAAGGAGGCATTATGCTTTCTTCGAGGACAGATAAATAGGCGAGGAGCCGCCCCGCGCGGACAGGGAGCGAGGGCCTGGGGCCCGGAGCCGCGGCTCTACCGCAGCTGCCCCGGCTACTCCAGGGACCAGCTCGGCGCCTCGTCTCTCCCCGGCTCGGGTCCGGCTCTGTGAGGCTGGAGGCGCCCAGCAGCCCGCGGGCGCTTGCGGTGGGTGCCCCGGGCGCAGGGCGCGAGGTGGCAGGAGGGGACCCGGTGCCGGCTGGGGGACATCCACTTCCTGGCACCCAGCGGCTGGCAGAGCGTCCGCCTCACCTGTTCCTGGCTGGCACCGGTGCGCCCGCGCCCACGCCCGGCTCGCGAGGTCTCTGCGCCCCGGGCAGCAGGCGGGGAGGGGGGGGCTTGGCTGGCGTTGGAGGGGACTCCAGCCCCCGGCACCTCACGGCTGGCGGGCCAGGGGGCACCCCACGGCGAGCTCCGCTCCCTCCTCAGCTCGCCTCGGTCGGGCCCGCCCCGGGCATCTTCCTCCGCAGCGCCCGGGGGCGCGGGGCCGGGGGGGTCACCCCCCCCCCCCCGCCAGCTGGTTCTGCAGCGGCCGCCGCCTCCTCCCCGCCGGAGATGGGGGTGCGGGGGGGTCCTGGCCGGGGGGACGCCGCCCCCCCCTCAGTGCATCTCCCGCGCCGCCCCCCGCGCCCCTGCCCGGCTCGGCGAATGGTGTCCGGGCTCCGCCGGGGCTGTCAGCTGGTCTCGGGGTGTCCAGGGACCCGGCGAGCCGCCCCGGTGCAGGCTGGGACTTGTAGTTCTCCGGGGCCAGGCTCGCTGCCTGGGGATGTGGGGGGGCGTCTGGGGAGCCCCGCTGCTGCCTCCTGCTGGGCCAGGTGGGGCAAAGTGCCCTGCTCCGGGCCGGGAGAGCCCGGTGCCTTCGCCGGCCCCGGGACGGGCCCCCACCACCGCGGGAACGGGCCCCCACCACCGCGGGAACGGGCCCCCCACCACCGCGGGAACGGGCAAGCTCCCAGCCCGGGGACCCTCGGCTGCGGCCCAGCCCACGCCCCAGGGTGCAGCTGAGGCCAGGGCCTTCCCCGCAGCCGCCGGCGTCGACGCCCTTTCCCCCCAGCGCCTCGTGCCGGCCGCAGGAGGGCAGCGATGCCCTGCCACGCCCCGGCTGCGGGTGGCAAAGATCCCGCGAGGCGGGATGAAAGCGAGGGAGCGGGCAAAGGTGTGACGTGAGAGTAATCCCCCGGAACGGTCTGCGCCCAGCCGGCCCGCCCTGCCCGCCCAGCCAGGTTCCTCAGACGTATGTCACGCGTGGACCTGGGGTCTTCTCAGCTCAGCACCAGCGCTGCGAAGAAACCACTGATCAACAGCAGTCACAGCCCGCCCCAGAGGCGGCTGCATCTTGATGCTGGGCAAGTGATCCCTGTTTAAACAGCTGCTACTCGCCAACTCAGAGGCAGCTGCAGTTCAGCCCTAGGTAAGTGCTGCCTGGGCCCTGTCGCTGAGCAGCTGCCACGTTCCACCCCAGAGGTGGCTGCATTGCAGTGGCTGAGAAAAGTGCTGTATTGTTTAATCTTGAAAGTTGTTACTACCTATGGGCCTGACGGTAGCACCTAGAGGGGTGCCCTGTTGGGCTGGTTGGTGCACAGGGTGAGAGAGGTCCCTGCCCTGAACAGCTCAGCGCGTCGGTATCCCGTGCGCCAGAGAAACACGACTCCACAGCAGATTTGCTGGGGTCTTAGCAACAACGAGGCAGAGCAAAGTGCTGATTACAGGATTATTGTTCTCAGCGCGCGGAGGTTACCGCAGCCACAAGCGCAGAGACCAGACGGGCGTCCCGTGTCCTGCCGTCCTGCCCCCCAATCTGTTCCCAGCCCACGTGCGACAGAGCCGCGGAGAGCTCTTTACATCGGTGCCTTCTGGTCCCGTCTCCCCAGCCCCCCAGCAGTACCCCCGGCTCTCCCACGGCGCTCTAGGAAACGTAGTCCCAGGGCAATGCACACAGCAACCTGCCTGGGCCCGAGCCAGCCGGGCCTAGAGAAGCAGGTGATGATGTTGGCGGGAGGGCAGAGGCCTGGGGCTTGTCCGAAGGAAGCCGGCACTGGGCACACTGCGGCACCAGCTCCTGCTTTCCCTGCCCTGGGGACGCCCGCGGTAGGTGCCGCTCGCTGAGCCCAGCTGCTGTGGGAGGCTGGCAGGGCACTGGGCCGGAACCCAGGAGATCCGGGGGCTGGTCCCAGCTCTGCTACAGCCCGCGCAGAGAGTGGAGGAGGGGGACTGGAGCTGTCCAGAGTCATACGGGGCGTCAGTAGCAGAACCAGGGATGGAACCCAGGCGTCCTGGGTCCCAGGCCTCCCCTTGTTCCAACTGGCAGCTCTTTGGGGCAGGCCGTGGGCCCCCTGGCACATCCTAGCTGGGGCTACCACCACCCAGAGGAAGCTCTCCCCGCCAGGGCTGCCCCCAGGGCTGGTGGCACCCGAGACAGGTCACTGAGGGGCACCGAGCGCACGCGGGGGGGCGGCGGGCAGGCGTGACTCTGGAGCTGTCCCTCGCTCCCACCCAACCCCCCCTCTGGCGGTTTCCCTGTCAGCCACCGCCCATGGCAAACCAGCCCGACGGGTCCAGCAGCCGGCTCCAGCCGGCTGGGTCCCAGCACCCAGCAATGGGGGTGAGGCTGCTCCCAGCTGCGGCACTGTGAGGGCAGAAGCTATGGGGGGGTGGAACTAGGGGAGCCCGAGGGCAGCAACTGGGGGTGTCTGGGGCTAGAGGGACAGACAGAGGGGAGCCCAGACACACAGAATGGGGTGGGCTAGGGAAGGAATCGGCTTCCTGCCCCTGGGCAATGGGGGGAGGCCGTGCTGAGCCATGAGGGGGCGGCCGATGGGACCTTGTGGGGTGGGGGAACCCGTGCTGAGTTGGGGCCCCCCCTGGGCCGGCCACACCCATGGGCACCCTCCAGCCCAGAGCCAGCGATCCAACCTCAATATTCAAAGAAGGGTCTAGGGAGAAAACTCTTCTATCTACCCATCCATCCCCAGAGTCCAGCCGCCGTCACCCAGCGCCAGTATCCA